AACGAGCTGAAAAACTCATATTATAAAAATTTTCTGAAGGTGGCCCATTTTGCCCCACATTTTCAATTTTTTTTTTTTTTAATGAACAGAGCAAATTGAGGTCAAATACTTGGCAAGGGACTAAAAAAAAGTAAAACCAGAAAAAAACACTAAGGATATCAACATTTTTTTCTTAAGGGGCCCATTTTGCCCCCCCCCCTCCCCTAATTATTCGAAGATAATGACATAAAAATAATTATTTTTCATATTTTTGCTTTTAAAAAAATTAAAAAAAATTAAAGTTAATGGCATAAATTTGTAAATTCAATCACCAGAATTTAATTATCAATTATGGTTTCAAAACTATTTGGAAAAATCTCGTAAAATTTTAATTATCATGAAAATAAAAAAATTTTTATTTCGACCAACACAATTTCGGTCTTCCTTCAGACACCCGAAAATTTTCTTGAGCCAAGAATTTTGTTCTCCAGTCAAGAAATCTTTCTTTCTAATCTTTCAGATTTATAAAAAAATCTACCTAATCATTATTAAGCGCCGATCATAAAACCCAATAAAAATTTAAAGTATGAAAATATAAACTAAAAAGTGTGGACTGGACTATTATTATGTAACCCGATATCGTTGAAGGGGATCTCGTTTCTCCGGATATTATACTTGAGATTCAATAAGCCTCACTTCCAAGCTCTCTATTCCCATCTCTATCTCGAGCTCTTGTAGTAGGCAACTTTGTTTAAGTTCCACAGGGTCAACCGTGATAACCTTTCGGAATAAGCCATCCGATGAGCCCTCGCCATCTCCCTGCATCACTGCCCTACTTATACAAGACCTTACTTATACCTTATACCTTATCCCTTATACTTATACTTCAACCCCTTCCACTGCTACTACTACCACCGCAGTTACTGTCGGGGCTACTTATACCGGGACCTTATATCTTTAACTGAACTACAATAATAAATCTTACACTTGCCCCTAATACCGGTAATACGATAAGACTTTACTTATTATCGTCGGATTATAACCCTCATCAATTTTTTATTGAGCAATGAATATCATTATTTTAATTAATTTTCCATTATATTAATTGTTATCTTATATTAATAAATCATGAGACATAAATTGTGATTAGTGTTCAGTCTTTTTAGATTGTAATTGTAAGATAATGATTATTCACTCTTTGACATGTGAATCAATTCAAGATTTAAGGAGCTTGATGTAACACCTCCCTCCACCACTTGCTAAGGTATTGTGTGATAACAGGAAAATTTTACTAGAATAAAATAAAAGTTACTTAATTAGAGAAAATTATTTTTTTGAATTTTATTTTCTTTCTTGACTTAATTTTTTTTATCATTAAGTCAATTATAATTTGATACTTGACTTAACATAAATTTTATCTCAATTTAATAAAATACTTTATTACACTACAAAAATTTTTCTTTTTTTGTAATCATAAAATTTTTGCTGCAACAATTTTTTTAATCAAAATTTTTTCGACGAAGACTAAAAAAAATTGACTCAAGAATTTTCTGGCTTTTTTTGTGCAAATCAGCAATTATATTTCCAATAAATGACTTGACTGGCTGTATAAATTTTTTCCTGTTCAATTATCGACCATTGAAGGTGAGGCTATCACACCAGTCCAGTTAAAAAAATTCTAGAAAATTCGTTAAAAAATTTAACGAGCCTTATACATTAAATAATTAATGATGTTGCGTGATTGTTTTCGATCATTCGAATTGCAAACAACATCTAACCAAAGTCACGCGTGGCCTTGCAAAGAAACTCACACAATGCCTGACATATTGACATACTAAAGTATTCTCATCACCTCATTAGTCTAGTGTGCCTTGATCATACATTCATGAATGAATAATCAGAGATTTATTGAGGCCTTCCGCAAGTTATAAAGCATCGATGCATTGTCAAGCTAATAGCGCACTGTCGGTTCAATCGATTCATGCACAGTTTCATCAAAGATTAAAAACAAAATGATCAAACAGTTTATCATTGCTTCTGCCGCATTAGTCTGCGCAAACGCTCTGCTGCCGGTGGTGCTCGGACCCGGCGACAATTCAAAAACAGCTAAATTTTTAAAAGAGTCCGAAGCAAGTAAACAGTATCGTTTGCCTCGGAACATAGCCCCGCGAGTGTATATAATAGAATTCGATCCTGATTTCGTGGGTGAAGAGTTCACGTTCAAAGGAAACGGTAGCATTATTTTTGAAGTACTTCAGCCAACAAGTTCAGTGACTTTCCACAGGTCTAACAAAATAGCAATAGACAAAGCTTACACAAAACTCATTGACAAAAATGGAGTCGTGCTGGAGCCAATTGACCAGGAGTGGAATTCCCAGAATGAGTTTTACAGTATAAAGTTTCGAAATAAGCTCAAACCTGGCAATTATGATTTGAAGTTAAAGTGGACCGGTGATGATGCAGGCAATGACTGGTTTGATCAACAATCTGGATTCTTTCGTGAGAAAGACCTACTTGATAATGGCCAAACTCAGTAAGCAGAAAATGGTAATTGTTTTGATGTGGGGCTCTATTGTTTCTTGACCATTATATGGTTTATCAATACAATTTGGAGATTATATTTTTCAATTTGAAACTCAAAAAATGCATACTTATCTTTTTTTTCATAGAAATTTTTTACATTAAATTTTTGGGTGACGTATTATTTTTTTTTCTTAAAGAGCATAAACAACTGAAAAAATTAAAAATTAAAATCTGTAATATCATGATTTGAATATTTTTTGAGTTTTTGAAAAATTTATTAATTTTAATATTTGATCAACGATTTAGTGGCTATAGCCACCATAAATGGAATCATGGATCTCATCTATTTTGTAGCCGGTATGTCAATTTTTTCAATTGGAAAAATTGAAATATTGGCCTTTTTTTTTTTTATTAATTATTCTATTTTCTATAGGAAGTATGAAAACGTATTGATAAATTATCTTATCACCTCTAAAACGTTGATCGAAGGTAAAAATTTACAAATTTTTGAAAAATCCAGAAATTTTCAAATTAAAATATTATGACATTTTTTTAAAAAATTTTTTTTCAATTTTTTATGCATAAAAAAAATAATATAGTACTCTATAAATTTAGGTTTAAAAAATATCTGAAAAAAGAGACAGGTTGGTATCTGTTTAATTTTCCACCAACAAAAAAAATGTAATTTTCAATGTAAGTAATGATCAACTAAAAGTCAAAAATAATCGACAGTTAATTTTCTATTTCTTATGACCGACAAACGGTGAAGCTTCACAGCTAAACGATGACCCAAAAATGATCACAAACTTTAAAAAATAAAAGAATTTTCACAAAAGAAAATTTTTATTTTAGATATCTGGTTACTACTCAATTCCAACCAGTAGGTGCACGAGATGCGTTCCCATGCTGGGATGAGCCTGGGTTCCGAGCCCAATTCGAAATATCAATAAAGCACTACCCGAATTACACAGCGCTCTCAAACATGCCCGTTAGAACCCACCAGGAGCTGCCAGATTCCAAGATAGTAACCCACTTCGAAAGATCCGTGGCAATGTCTACGTACCTCGTTTGCCTGACGGTCGCCAACTACAAGCCCGTGAGAGGTGATAGAGGGATCAACACATTCTACGGGCTAGAAAGCAATCTACCTTTTCTGAAGCAGTCGCTGGAGATCAGCGAGAAAGTTCTTGAAGCGATGGAAGCCTACACGGGAGTGCCCTACGCACTGCCGAAATTGGATCACGTAACTATTCCCAAGTACCAGGCCACTGGGATGGAGCACTGGGGTCTTGCCAGTTACAAGTAAGCTCGTTTCTGTAAACTTTCTTCACTTAATCATCATAAGTGGAAGAGCTTTAATCGATGTATGCTGCAGCACTCCTGTAGTGACACTTAAAAACACAACTTTGATTCCCGACGATGATAATTATTACAACGGAATAGTGCTGGTAGCTCATGAAACTATTCATCAGTGGTTCGGGAATCTTGTCACCCCTCTTTGGTGGGACGATTTGTGGTTGAGTGAATCCATGACTACATATTTCCAATTTAAACTTCTTGATCAGGTAAGGTCGTTTAATGTTTAGGCCTTTCTTAAAATAAATTACGCTAAAAAAAATAACTTTATCAAGGGGAAAAATTTTTGAATAAATTAAAATTTACTTGAATCAAAAATAATGTTTTGGATTCAAGAATTTTTCCCTTGAATCGAGTTAATTTTTTTATCAGTGCGTTTGAAAATTAGGAATTATTTCCACTTAGGATTTTTAAAAATCATTTTTAAAATGTATAGGAATTTATGATGAGATTATAACTTAAAAAACGTCCATAATTAAAAAAGTACAGTGCAATTTAACAAATATCTTGTGAACTATTGAGATTTTTTAAGATATAAGCTCATCCCGATGTTACACTCATCAAGACCTTTCATTTGAATACCCACATCAATTTTTCATATATTTATATATATTATAAATATTACATATATGTACATATAAAAAATATATCAAAAATGCATGTGGGTACTCAAATAAAAGCTCTTGATGAGTGTTACATCGGGATGAGCTTATATCTTTAAAGACGTCAATAGTTAGAAAAGTACAGTGCAATTTAACGTCATTATTTTATAAAGCAAAATTTTATTTATTTATAGTTCACAAGTGACGGCAGTCACATAGTGACTGCAAGGTTGCTAGTTTAATTAAATTAAATTAGCGAAATTTTTTTCGCAAGACAATTTTTTCATATTAACCAATTGAAAAGCCAATTTACAAAAAAAAAAATGATTAAAAAATCGCTTTTTTCAGCCTTCTAAGTGCATGTAACCCTCTAAAGAAAATTTCTTGTAGATACTCCCCGATATTCACGGAATGGATTACACAGTAATTATTTTCATGAACGGCGCATTCGACACAGAAGACTCCGAAAACGCAAAACCAATAAAATGGATACCTCGGAATAAAATTGAGTATGACAAAATATTCAGCTCTACTACATATCAAAAAGGCGCTGCCGTGCTACACATGTTGGAACACGTCCTCACTAAAGAAGTCTTTCAAAAAGGAATCGTTGGGTATCTCAAAGCGAAGTAACGAATTTTTTGATCAATAAAAAGTGTGCAAATAACCAGAAATAGTTCTCAAATACTGAGATTCGTTTCCTTTATTGCACACTTTTGAAAGCACATTTATTTTTTAACTCAAGCAAATAAATTTTGTTTACTCTTGCCAGCCAATTTCACGGCGTAGTTAGTGACGATCTTGCCGAAGGGTTTCAAAAAGCGTACGACGAGGCTTTCAAAGAAAAACTTGACTTGAATGTCAAAGAGTTTGTGGATCTTTGGGTCGAACAAACAGGCACTCCACTTTTGACCGTAACTAGAAACTACGAAACCGGTGAAACAGTCGTAGCGCAGAAGAATTCCCGGGAAATCAACCCGGATAACAAGTGGAAGATCCCGATAAATTACGCGACTAAATCCAATCCTGATTTCTCATCCACGGTTCCGATGGTTTGGATGAATGAGGACCAGGATACTATCACGCTGCCTGACATTGACACGGACGACTGGATCATCCTCAATATTCAACAGCGAGGTAGCTACGAATAATCATCATCATCATAAATAAAGATTCATTTATTTTGCAGGGTTTTATCAAGTAAATTATGACAAAGAAAATTGGTACCGACTAGCAAAGTGTCTGGTGGTGAATCACGAAAAATTCCATCCCTTGAATCGGGCCCAGCTGCTAACAGATGCCTGGAGACTCTTTGACAGTGATAAATCTAATATTGAAATAATTTTTAACATAACCGCATACTTAGGCCGAGAAAAAAACATCCTGGTCTGGAAACCGGCAGCTGAAATTATTTCCGAGATGGCTGACTTGGTTCGTAAAACAGAAATTGAAGATTTGTTCAAATCTTACGTTCTTTCCCTGACGAAAGATATGACGTACCAAGATTTCTCGAGTTATTATACAAGGAACCAACTTGTACCAGTTCTTTGCGATTTCGGGCACCCAGACTGCAGATCGGCCGCTCGGAAACTTTTTAATGAATTTATGAAGAATCCTTCGAAAGATGCGTAAGTATAGGGTTCGTTTTCAAAAATTGTTTGATATGATAAGTAAATTTTTATAATTGTTTGAATGTAGAACTTCTTCATTTTTTTATCATAAAAAAAAAAATTTGTTCATTCAAACAAAAATGAATCGATATGTCAATTTTTTGAATTTTCACAAAGTTGGATTCGATTTTATTAATTCTACAAAATTATGTAACTATAAAAAATAATCAAATCCGAACAAAAACAGTTTCACTGTAAAAAAAAACGGAACTTGGCGCCAGATTCTACCGAATCTGTTGATCATTTCTAAACCGTCGATCAAACATCAAAACTTACAAATTTTTTAAAACTTTATGAAAAATTTTTTAAGTACAGTATTATGACACTTTTTCTGCCCTGGCCGCTGCGCTAAACAAAGTTGCCACATTCCGGCTACGTCGAGCAGAAAAATAGTATACACACCTTGGCCTGTAAAAAGTAAAGCCTCAGACCACATGTTTGTCAACCTCGGCTTCGCCTCGGCCAACAATTACATGTGGTCTGAGACTTTTCTTATTTTACTGGCCTAGGTATGTAATCTACTATTTTTTTAATTGATAGCGTTTTTTAGGGTATCAGGCGTCTTGATCTCCCGATAAAATATCCTCTATGACAAAAAAAAACTCCGATAAGTAATCCTTCGAATTCGTTATGGTTTTCGCAAATTTAAATAAAAAAAAAAATTATTGAAGGGCATAATGATAAAAGGGTACAACATACGGTAAAAATCGTATGTATTGGTCTAATATCGAATAACTTGTATTAATTGCCTTTGATTATTTATTCATCGACTTTCTCTTATTCAAATTGTGATTTATTTTGTAATAATAAGTATTGTATTAGTCATTAAATGATATTACATAATTAATATTATCTCTAGTGTTGTAAGTGTTCTCACTTTATATGTGATACAAAAGATAAAATTGTTTAAATAAATTAACTATTAATAATTTTTAATTTTTTGTGGTTTATCGTTTTATTCAAAAACTCCGGCTATTTAGGATTAATTGTCGGGAATTTTTTGTCATGGGGATATTTTGTCGGGGATCAAGAATCATAGAACCCTTGTTACACTTGATTTATATACAAAATGCCGTAAAATTTTTTACTGTGTGGCCAAAAAACGGCGAGTAAAACATCTAAAAAATTATCTGAATTTCATGTTCCCAGATTTCCGTCCTCTGATTGGGATTGGGTGATTTGTTCAGCACTCCGCGAGCTCGGTACAACCGAATGGGAAAAATATATGAACGACAGTTCCCTGGAGAAGATTGTTCCATTATCAAAGTACCTTTTCATCAAGTGCACAGACGACAAAGACAAACGCGATAAGTACTTAGACGAAATGTTGAAGTCCAATGCTAATGTCAGTAAAGATTTGGCTACTGACGTCCTGCAAGGATTGATTGAAAGCAATTCCCAAAACTTTGCCTACATACTCCAGTACTTGAACGACCACTTGGAAGCCATTAGGAAATTGTAATTGTTTTGCTGTCTTTTTTTATGTGGAATAACTTGCAGAAATTGATCTGAATTTCATTTCAGCTACGAGGACGACACAGACAACAATCTGGTAACTCTTCTTGCTCGAATGGTTGCTGCTGTCAAAACCCAACAACAGTTCGATAAAGTATGTTCTCTGTTTATTTATCTACGGAAAGAAGATTTGCTGAAACAATATTTTCATTGCAGATGAAAAGCTTCATGGAAACGCACGAGGATAAATTTAAAGAAATAATTTCCGATCCCGAGATGACGGTCAAGAGTGTACTGGAGGAAGTCAAGATTTCTGTTTCGCTGGCAGAGCAATTTAAAAAGGAATTCAATAAATACATCGATAGAAATTTTGTTGCAGATATTGAAAATGACAAATCGAGTATAGATGCTTGCAAATAGTGATTTTGATATGAAAAACTGTCAATCAACCACATCCGGTGTAGATTGGTTGATTTTTTAGATATCGAATTTTTTTAAGCCACGAAATAAATTCAAATAATTATACTAAAATTTTTGGAATTTTTTTTATCGAAAAAATGATTAATTTAAAAGAAAATTAAAAAAATATCATTCTTAAAAAACTTGAAAAACTTCAAGTGTAATTTATTAAAAATATTTTTTTACTGTAATTTAATGAATGAAAAAAAAAATCATAAAATTAAAAACGTCGGCTAACTTTAGTATTATAAATTAGTCGACATTTTAAAACTTATAATTTTTTTAATAAATTAAATTATAAGTAAAAAAATATTTTTAAAAAATTACACGGATAATTTTTTAAATCTTCTGCATGTGAAATTTTTTCTTTTAATTTTTTTATAATCATTTTTTCAATAAAAAATATTATAAAAATTTTACAAAGAAATTTTCAATTTAAAATTATATAAATTTTTTGGCAAATTTTATTTTTCGATTTAATTTAACTAATTATGACGAAATTTCCTTAAAATTACAGTATAAAATTATTTATAAGAGATTTCTAAAGAAATCTACCTAATAAAAGGCCTATTTAGCAAAAATCTGTTCCCGTTTAGCGCGACCGTTCCTAAACCCGAAAATATTTTGTCAATTGTAAGAACAAAAATAACAACAATACCCTTTTATATCGACACTTTTCATTATGTCTTTTAATCAAGAAGTAAGACAAAAAAATAATAAAAATAAAACAAAACGTCAAATAGCTAGATACGTTTGAATTTTTGTTCATAGTCATGACTCTTTTCTTTGTTTAGACTCGTCTCTTTCTTGAATCTTTTGTTTTAATCGTAAAGGTACTTCTTCGAGTACTAAAACTCCGAGACCTCAATTCTCGTTCCCGAAAATCAAACTGAGGCCTGTGATACAAAAATAAAAAAGGATATGTTGTTCTGTTCCGTTTTTTAGATTTATTTCAAGACTACGAGATGAAAATCAGTGGCAAGAGTAGCTACAGCATAAAAAGAAGTTGTACGGCAGTACCTCTGGTTCTACTGCTACTTTCACTTCTTTAACTATACAAACAATCCTTCCGGGAAATAATACTGGACGGATACAATCTTTGTTTTAATTCTATTTTATTTTTATTTTTTTTTTCCTTTCTCGATGCCTTTTTTTGCTAATCCTCGGTAATTATTTATCATAATTGCAATTACTCATTTTATCTAATACACGTAAATTTAAAGTTAAATTGAAGATTTTTTTATTCAAAGCTTTTGACGATAAAATAACGTCAGCAAATTGAAGATAATAAAAGAAAAAATAATAATGAATTTTAAAGTAAGAAGTTGCTCGAAGGAATTATAATTTAGATACTTTAAGAAACTAATAAGTTTGAATTACCAGTGAAAAGTTTAAAAGTTACTGCGGAATGTCATTTAAATCATCATAAATAGATTATTTTCCTGCGCTACTCACTTCCGTCTGTATAAATAGAGTTGTGTTGAATTTATTTAATATAATTTGTTAAAATAAGATTCGAAAAAGCTCAGGAGGTTAAGTCGATTTCCCACGTGCTTGGTGTTCTAGCGAAACAAAACGAATTAAACTCAACGTATTTTTCTCTATCTCTTTTTCGTTCCATTCTTTATTATCTTTATTTATTTATTTATTTTCTCTATTATTCCTTTATTTTTTTAATCTATCTTATTGACTGCTCACAATCTGATAAAGTTATTTTATCTTTGTTCTTTTAATACAACAATGTTTATTTATTTATCCGCCGGTCGAATAATGAATAAATTGATATCATTTATGATAAATTTTTTTTTGTTTTAATTTTTCATAATCATAAAATTTTAAACTATATATATTACTCCAAAATAAAATTCACTTCAATTTATATTATTAATAAAAAAAAGTTTGCTGTGAATTATTTTTTTCTTTATTAAATAAAAATAAAAAAATTATTCTTTAAAATATTACAAAATGCATTTTTAGTAATTTTTAAAGTTAATTTTACTTTTTTTTTTTTTTAGTTTGATACAAATAAAATTAAATAATTAAAAAAAATTGCATCAATATATTTTTTTTTAATTTTTACAAAAAGTATTTTTTAATAAATTCTTTCTATAATAATTTATTTGTTAAGAAATCTTAAAAATTGCCATATAAAAGTTAATTTCAGTAACATTTAAGTAATTAATTTTATTTAATTAAACGGAGTAATGTTTTTAATTTATTATTTTTTACTTTTTAGAATTTGACAAAAAGGCTTAAAAAAAAATAATCTTTGTGAAAATTTTGTTCAATATTTGAAAATCAAATTTTTGGAAGAATATAATTAATATTTACAAACTAAAACTTGAAATAAATTGTTTAAAGTATTTTTTAGTAATATGGTTGTTTTTCACTCCCAGTGAAAATTCACTCCTGATTTTCTACAGTGTCATAGTCAGAAGCTGAAAAAAAATATTTCTAAAAATTATACAATATTATCTATTTTACATATAAGGTAAAAGTGCCGTTTGTAGCCATCTTCTTACCCTAGGACCGCTTCAAATTCAAGTGAATGAATAAAACATCGAAAAAATTATAATATTTTTTTATAAAACGTCCCAATCCTCACAATCATATAAATATAATTTATAATGTTGAAAAGTATTTTCAGAGGGGTATATTAGTTTTAATATAAGGGTTGAAGGGACTCGAATAAAGCTTACACCTGCGAGAAAGTAGATAAGAAGTGAGTGTGCCATAACCTTAGACTAGTCTCGTCAATTCAAGCCTAACCCTTTCCCTTAATTTTGAAAATGTGTACAGTAAAAAATTTATTTTTAACATTGGTAAGTAATAGAGATATTATATATTATATAAAATAATAAAAAATGAAAGTGAAAGAAGTATTAATTTGATAAAAAGTTAAAAAATCGATTTATTACGTGGAATAACTTCAATATCTTGTAACTTAAAAAAAGAAGTACAGAAATGAAAAGAATTCCATGTGGAAATATTTTATAAGTACGTGATAAAGTAGTGCTCGAGTCATCGATAGTAACATCGAAGAGTATCTCCAAGGGATAACAGAATTAATTGGATTTTCGAATAAGAAGTAAGCGAGAATTTCAAAAGCCAAACGATCACGTAGTGAATTTTCCCGCTCAACGACCGAGTGTCAGCACCTTGGCCGTATGCTTTTGGAAGCAGATGCACTAAATAGCCTCGTGGGAGAACTCCTCTCTTGGTCCTCCTCCTCCTCATCCTTTTCCCTTCGGCGGCAGCCCTTAGTGCCCCTCTCCATTCCACCCCGGGATTCCTTTCCCCTGTGGATGTGCATTATGGTCTCGTGGTTATACCCCCAAGCGAACGCCAATAAAAAAGGAATGCCGAAAATAAAAAATGAATCGATGGAAAATAGTTCCAATAAAAAATACATAAAGCGATATTAAATAATGATCGATGTTAATGCATTACTCAAATTTTTATTGGTCAATTTATTATTTTATCTTTTTTACTTTTATAAATTTCTTCGTTCGAGAATAAAATTCCTCTGGACTTAACATTTTTTTAGATTATAGTGGAATTATTTTAGAGGGAATAGGATTTTGAATTTTTGATTGGTTGAACGTGATTATGGGATGATAAATTTGAAGAATTTTTTAGCAGCATCCGACACAGTTTTTTAGTCAAAGAAAGTGAGTTAGAAATTTCAAATTAATTTAAAGTTATCTAAAAAAAACTTCACAAAATTTTGTATTTTTTGAATATCTTTTAGCCTGACCAATTTAAATTAAAATCTAATTTAATTAAGTCTCAAAAAGCTTTTTTGAACAGTGATTTATGCAGAAAAAAGTAAACTGTAATAAATAATAGTCGATTTATAATAAGTAATGATCAACTGCTAAAAATTACCATTTCAAACAGTAAAATCGTGATTTTAATAATCACTATGTAATATTTATCATTTAAATGCTACAATTTATTCTTTACATAGAAGAAAATACTATTTTAAACAGTAATATTCGCTATGTGAATGTCAAAAATGTTACAGTATAATAATTAATAATTTTGACTTTGATATTTACCATTTCGTACCTAAAAAATAATCGCATTACATGTAAAAAGTATAAAATACAGTTGCTAAATTTCTAATACAAGCAACGTCAATATTTACAAAGTAAAATGGTAAATTTTAAACGCAACGCTAAAAATCAAACTATATAATTATTGACTTTCTTGAACTCTGGTAAAATATATATTTTAAGAGTAGAATTTTTACGGTTTCAAATGTTAAATTCTCCCAGTGTAAGACCCCCTTCTCCTCATAGTATGGACTATATATTGAAACGGCCGGAAATTTTTACTGTTAGAAACTGTAATTTTTTAAGATGAGAGAATCGTTATTTACTATAGTGACAGCAACTAATCACTTATTTTCGATATTAAATTATAAAATGTGGCTTTTACACTTTCTACATTAAGTTCTGTAATATTTATATTTTTGCCACCCCGATGTCCGCTTTACTGTTTGAAACTATAAAAATTAACCGGAATCCAAGTGAATTTTACAGTTTACTTTTTATGTCTTAATCAGTTGATTCATTTTTAAGATACCGTCCGACAAAATTTTATTTATACACATAAATACATTAGTGTGTAATCACTAATTTTCTACTTTAGAAAATTATCAATTTTCAAAGCGGAAAACTAAAAATCTAAATTTAAGAAAAATAAAAAATAATGAAAACGAAATGGGATGAAATGTAAGAAAAGTCCCTGATGGATTGATTTTCTTTGATCGCTGAGAAAGAAAAATGTTGCCCATAAGGCTTTCAAGACATTACTTAGAAGCCAGTTTTTAAAAATAAAAATGTTATCCTTACAAATGTCTCGATAAAATCGATTGATCATTAATTTTAGTTTCTGTCATCATACGAGTCCTTTTTTCCACACTCATCTTTTATGTTTGTATGTATATATGT